ATTTGTCGGGTGCAGGCCATCGCCCCATGACTGCCCCGCAGAGGGAGGCCCAGGCCCTGACCAGCGGGCTGCGGCGGGTGAGTGGGGCCTCCCTTTGCAAGGGAAGCCTGGGTCCCGGGTGCTGAAGAGAAGCCAATGCTGGCAGCTGGGGGAAGGAAGGCCTACTCTTTCATGAATTCCAGCAATTGGAACGGCGGAGTGACTGGTCACTATGATACGCACTGCTACAGGCAACTGGCCAAGGAAGGCCTTCTCTTTCATGAATTCCAGCAATTGGAACGGCGGAGTGACTGGTCGCTATGATACGCACTGCTACGGGCAACTGGCCGGATCCGGGCCCCCCTCCCCAACTGCCTGTGGCCCCTCCCCCTTGCCAGCCCTGCCCCTGATTGCCCCCCCCTGAACCCTGGGCTCAGGCATTGAACGTCTGCCTCCGCCGGCCACTTGGTCTCTGTGGGGCTGAGGCCGTTCCAGCAGGTGAGCTGTGCCCACATCTATAGCTTCTACAAGTAGGACCTCTAACAGAAGTGGAAGCAGAAATAAAATCGCCATACGCTCAGCACCTGAGCCCGAGCGGGCCGCCAGCAGTCGGTCCTGTCATCCATGCGGTTTTGGCCCAATCTGGTCAGGGCATGTGCAGGAGGCAACCAATTGATGTGTCTTTCTCACATCCATGTTTCTCTCTCTGTCTCTCGCCTCCTCTTCTACTCTAAAAATCAATGAAAAATGTCTTCAGGTGAGGATTAACAAAAAAACAAAAACAAAATATGCATACATACACACATAAACATAAATACATGAATATTGGGGGGTGGGGCCCCACAGATGCATGAATTTTGTGCACCAGGCCTCTAGTGTATTTATAAAAAGTCTAATTCTTAGGCTCATCTACAAAGATAGTACATTCTCTTATGTGAGGAATTTGACATTTGATTTTTTCCCCCTAGGAATGAGGCTTAACTTTGACAATTAAGGAGTCCAAGGTACCCAAATAAGCCGTTGGATATGAGTCTGTAACTTAGAAAAGAGATAGAAAAGGATCAGAAATAGAAAATTGGGAGTTATTGTTTAGATTGAATCCATGTACCTAGATGAGTTTGCCTAAGGAGGAAGCATAGAGAGAGAAGAAAAATACTTGGGCCTTAATTAAGAGTTCTATCTAGTACTTAACAGCTATGCTGGTGTTTCTGTCTCTTTGTCTATGTCTCTCTGTGTCTGTTCTGTTTCCCCCCTCATTCCCCGCTCCTTCTCTGTGTGTGTGTGCTTAAACCAGCAAAGGAGTGGCCAGAGAGGTTGGCAGAAAACCGGGAATATTTGTGATCCCTTGAGATGTGGCTAAAAGGTAGTGAGGTGAGAACACAAAGGCCTTATATGCCTAGGTGGAGAAAGACCTATTGACTTTAATGGTGATTTTTTACTCAACAGTTCTGTACATGTACAAAATATAGGCTATTTATAGAACCATTCAGTCTGTCATGACATTCTTCACATAAGAATTTCCTAGTAGAAAATTTTGCTTGCTGGGTAGCTATTTGAAATTAAGAATATTTTCTTAGAAATAATTTTACCAACTTGCTCCCACATCACCCCATAAAAGTTATTTAATTTCTAATTTTCACTGTGATCGAGGAAAGGAGGTCAGTGGCATGTAGCCTGCAATTTTATATATAGTATATATATTTGCTGTTCATAATATGGAACTGTATAGTGGACGAACTAACGTTTGTTGAATGCATCCTATGGGCTAGGCATAATACATACATTTTAGATTTCACATCCTTTTGACGTATTGTTATGTCCCTCCTTCAAAGAAGAAACTAAGGTTGGCTCTCTCAGTGTCATACTTCCCACTCCCCCCAATGCCTATATGAATCAGGATTTGAACCTATGTTAGGTTTACTCTCAATTTCTGCTACCCCAAGTGGACTTCTGTATGTTGTAAATCGTTTATCAACCAGTTCTAAAGTTGTATGTAATTAACATTTCACCAAAGGTGTTCATTAAATGTAGAAATATGTTATCTCTCAGCTTTTGAGGATCAAGACTGAGCAAAGAGAGGATCTAGGTCCATATACTCAATCTTTGATTTAATAGAGTCTATTTAATTTCACCTAAGGGAGACATTCAGGTCACAGAACAGCATCATGATGTCAGAATTCTGGTTAATTCAGGTATTATTCTTTTCAAATATTTTTATTCTCATAGAAAACCTTTCTTTGAACTTTTAAAAAAATTTGTCATTTGTAATGTGTGTACACATTTACCCTCTTTTTTCTTCATTTTGTGTTAATCTAATTTAGTGCTTCAATTTTCCTATTTCTGATATCCCAAGGTTTCCTAAATAAGTAAAATTAGTAGAATAGAAAATACTAGAAGTAAAAATGAAAATTTTTGAGGGAAAAAAAAAGTGTGGCTATAGAGTTTAGTTAGGTTCAAATTTTCTTAATCTTTTGATTGAAATCTTATCCTGTAAATCTTACAGAAGTAAATTAAGTGAATTTGTTAATGGGCTCATTGTTATGCTCCTTCCCTCTTAGATCGGTATGTGAGCAGTTTCTAATTTTCCATTTAGCAAATAATGTGATAGAGGATTAATTTTTTTTTCTCCTCCAAAATCACAAGAAGGCTTTCCTGAAGGTGATGATAGTTTTTAAATTTTGGGGTCAACTGTTAAATGATTCAGCCCTAGGAAAAACCTTTTTCTGGAGGTATTTCCAATATCTTCAAAACAAACTGATGACTTTTTTAAAGTTTTGGTTTTTTTTCCTAAACAGCCCTTCCCTTCACCAAATAAAAACTTTACCAGAAGTTTGATGAGTGCTGGCATTTTTAACATGTTGCCAAGGAAAGTTGGCCGCTATCCAGTAAAATTTGTCTTTGATAAAGTGTTAGTTTTTTTTAATGTGATAAACTATTATTGTCATCAGTTACAGAATGACAAAATAGCATATTCAGTTAATGTGATAAACTATTATTGTGTCATCAGTTACAGAATGACAAAATAGCATATTCAGTTGTCCAATTCAGATGTCTATTGGAGTGAAAGGCTAGAAGGTTGCCTACATACTTTCTTTAAACATGAAGAGCAAATTTATAATTACCTTGTGCCAAGTATGTTAACATTCTCAAAGAAAACCTGCATGAATATTTAGAAAGTAGGAGATTTTGTGAGATTTGTATTTTGAAAACATGAAAGACAATGCATAATTCTTTATTTGGTGGTAGTGAAAATGTGTCATGTGATACAGGATTAAATTATTTTGACGGGAGTTGAAGTTTCATTCTTATAATTACAAGAATGTGACCTTCTAAATATCTAGATGTATATTTTTACATAATTCTTTCTGTTAAAGTGAGGTTCCTAAAAATGCTCTTTAAATTTCTTATTGTTGGAGGTAGGAGGTAATTAAAAGAGTGAATGATTTGCTGATCCTCACAGAATATCTTTACATTAGTGAAGTCATCACTTGTCACCATGTGAAGTGTGATCTTTTCACTTTTGTAGGCTGACATTCCTGTTCAGTTCATTTTGAGGTGATGTGGTATTGTAGAATGTTTTAATTTAGGGATAAAGTATAGTGTTAATTTAGAAATTTACAATCAAATAATTTGGCTTAATATCAATTTTTTTTGGATGTAAAAAAAAATAGAAGCCTTTGTCCTTTTATTTCACTGAGGATATCAGAAAGATAGTAATGGTAGTGAAATATGTACACAGAAGGTAAGTACACAGTAGGGTTCCAGGAAAGGTTTAATTGTAGTAACATACTTAGAACAAGAAATTTATTCTGCCACTTTTTAATTTCCAGATAAATTAAATGTGTGTAAAAAAAATAAGATGTTTTCCTCCTTGGTAAAATAACATATTTGTAGATGCAGTTGGAACCACAATACAGGGGGTCTATTTGGACTCCTTGAGAAGCATTTTAATGCTCCAGATACTTTATGAACATTCTCTGTGATTAAGTGACAGTTTCCCATTTCCCTCAATATGTGAGTAAAGTTGATCAGAGTAAAATACATTGCAGAATTCAGTATTAATGAATTTATACCCATTTTTACTGTACCTTACTACTCATGAGTTTTGTAGAGCCTTGTTGAGTACCATTAGGTTTTCTTTCCTATTGATTGTTTACATCCCTACTACTTGTATTTTAATCAAATTTTCAGCCTGCTATTATAAAATCAGTCATGTAAGTGAATATGTATTTAAGTTGCTAGTTCACTATAAACTTTGCCCAAAGCATAAAAACAGAAATTGATTTTCTAGCATCAGATCAAATTCTGTAATAAAAATTTTTTAAACCTATATAATAAAACCTTAATATGCAAATTAACTGAATGGCGGGACGACTGGTCGCTATGATGCGCACTGACCACCAGGGGGTAGACACTCAACACAGGAGCTGCCCCCTGGTGGTCAGTGTGCTCCCACAGGGGGAGTGCCATTCAGCCAGAAGCCGGGCTCATGGCTGGTGAGTGCAGCGGTGGTGGTGGGAGTCTCTCCCGAGAGCCTCTGTGGCAGTGCTAAGGACCCCTTGGGGGATGTCCAACTGCCAGCTAAGCCGGAGGGCGGACATCCCCTGAGGGGTCGTGGACTGCGAGAGGGCGCAGGCTGGGCTGAGGGGATACCCCCCCCCCTCCAGTGCATGAATGTCGTGCACCAGGCCTCTAGTTTATATATAAAACAATCATCAAATCTTAGCTGATACCACATATTTCAAATGGTATTTGTTGTAAGAATTAAATAAGAAAAGACCTTTTCATAATAGAATTTAACCTTTTTTTTTTTTTAAGGAAATCACATTCACAGAGGTGGGCCGATGGGAAGATTATGCAACAGAATTTTTGTTTAATTGTAATAGTTTGTTTTTCCCTTTTCTTCCTTTTTTCTGTTTAACTTTTTTTCCAGTTTATGAATATTAAAATTGCATAGAAATTTTATTACAGTTCAACAGCACTCCATGTAGAAGGGAAATTCAAATGATCTGCCTCTACTACAATTATGAAATTTGTTTCAAGTTTGGTTTAAAGTATTTTGAAGACAGAGGATTGCATGCTGCAGAGACTTCTGTATATAGCATTTAAGAAGGCAAGTAAGGGTATAGTAGAGGCTCTAGTTACTTTGTGGCCTTCATTCTCTCTGGAAGACTAGAGATTGATAGCCATGACATGTTTAATACCAACTGGTGGCTTGTAGACTTTTCTTGCCAGTTTTATTTATTATTGGAATTACATAATATAATTGAATATTACTAAACCAATAAAAAATCAGTGCATAAGGAGAATTATTTCTGTGAAAATTTTGGGAAGACTCACTAAAAAAATCTTGTGGACTTAGATGTAAGGAAGACAACTAAAAGCCTGGAAAGGTCATACAAATATAGAAGATTTTGGCATTTAGTGCTTTATATGTGTTTTCAAGTTGTACCTTTATTTTGTAAGAGATGCATGAGAAATTGTAGAGTATATTGGCACCTGGTTTATATAAGGAACTCCTATCATGACCTTTGTCTCACAGCAAACGATTGGTAAAGCACATTTGAATGTTTTAAGTTAAAGTACTTAAGGTACATAGGTGTAATCTTTTTTCCTTTTTGTGATTTTCCTGAATTACTGACTTGGTTAGTGGACTGGTCCTAAGTTGTTGATTCATCAGTTTTTATTTTTATTGAATATACCTGTCAGGCATTTTTCTTGAACTCTAACTTGAAGAAAGGTTAGTAGTAGGACTGAAGCACTTTTTCCGACTTTAACATAGATTTTGTAGTAAAATTAGAATAATACTGTGTTTGCATAGTTAGTACTACTTGCAGCAATGGTCATAAAATTTTGTATTCAAGCCATATCCTTTAAGAAGACTTTATAGTTACCTAGGTTTTCGGACCCTCTTATGATCCTTTCTAATCTTGTTTGCCCCCTTTCTTTTGAAAACACTTGGTTTCTTTTAAATTTCCTCTTCCAAGGAATCAGCTGATGTTTCTAAGGCTGACTTTTGAGTCAATATAATAGTTTCATATACAGGAGTCAAAATATTTCATTTTTTAGTAAATATTAGATTAAAATGTGAAACACCTCAACAGTTGTAGCTTATTTGGAAAATTAAAAGGATATTTTTTATTTATGTTTATTTTAATTCTTATCTTAGGGACCTGAAAATACCTTTTAAGAATTCGTGGCAAAGGGATTGGCCTGCACTTGTATCTTTGGAGGCACAGTGCCCAGAGAGGGCCCCAAAGCTTTTTCCTGGCTGCCTACTCTGGAGCAGCTGACTAACCAGCTGCAGAGCACATTGATCTGGTTGTAATTGCTTTCATCCTGGAGCAGAGCAAGTTAACACAATTTAAATCAAGAGCCACATTAGAAGATTCTGGCCTGAGGATAGCCTCTCATTTCCTACCTTTGAAAGGGGGAACAGTTTCAGTCACTTCCTAACTTCTAATGTTGGCACCAGTTGTTACCAGTGATTGGACCTCAGTTCAGCAACCTCAGTACTTGAGTTCTAGCTAGGAAAGAATTCAGAGCCAACCCTCAAACTAGAGGAGAAAGTTTATTTAGAAAGTTACAAAAGTAGAAGTGAATGGTGGAAGAAGTGTGCCTCTGAGCTGCGTGGGGCTCGGAACAAGTTACAGAGGTTGGAGCTTAGAAGAGAAAGGCAAGGAAAAGCACCTAGGGTGAGAAGGGCGGGGAGGGGGGGCGGTGAGGAAAGGCATGCTGGGTCATCCTTCTTGATGGTATTTATCTGGGAGGATCCCAGTGGACTATTCATCAGCTTTCCAGGTGTGTCCTTTCAAGATTGAGGTCTCTGTTGTGTCAGGGGTCTTTACTAGTAGTCAATGCAGCTGGTCCTAATGTCACCCATGGCCTCATTTGTCTGGTTTTGCTGCTTTCCTGGGCCTAGAGCTGACTCACTGAGGCCTAGATGTATTTGATGCTAGTCAGAACCTCATTGTCCTGGGGGTTAATGCTTAAGAGCTATTCTCCACCCCTTCCCCCCTTTTGGCCCTTCCCCCTCTAAGAGGGTCTAACCTGCCAGGGGAGGAAACATGCCAGGGGAGGGTCCAAACCACGTGACCAGTAACTAACATCTTCCTATGTGTTCTTGTCTCTCCTTGTGGTAGGTAACATCCTGAACTTTGTATTTCACTCTTTTGCATTTTATAAATGTTTTATATGTTTGCCTAAAAAATATATTATTTTTTGTTTATAAAAAGAATATACTAAATGTAGTCTTCTGGACTTGCTTTTTTGGTTAAATATCATGTTACTAACATTTATTCTTGTTACATATAGTTGTAATTCATTCATTTTTACCACTGTATAATCTTCTATTCTGCATAATTTCTTTTCTGCCTGTAGACATTTGAGGTGTTTCCAGTATTTATGCTATTATAGATATGTTGCTATGAGCATTTTGTTCATCTGGGTGAACATGTGTCAAAAGTTTCTCTTGAATATGTACCCAGAATAAAAATTGCAGGATCATAGAATATGTAATGTTTAATTTAACTCTACAAGATACTACCTAATTAATTTCCACCATTGTTATAATAATATTGTTCATTTACGTTATTCTTCTCTTAACCGGGATTGTCAGAGGTTTGTCTATTTTATTAATCCTTTGAAAGAACCAGGCTTGTTAATTATGAGGCTTGTTGTAGTGATTTAGGTAAATTACCGTGGTTTAAACTAAAGGCTAAAGCGTAGAAATAGAAGAGGATGGGATTAAGAAATGTTAGGGATATGAAGGCCCCATGATCTGACTAGATAATTCAATTGGCTATGGCAGTTGAGAGAGAGTGGGAAAAGTACAGAATGACTTCTGGGTTTCTGGCCTGTATATGAATCAGGGTATAAGTGCATACTTTTTCTGAGCTTGCAATTGAAAAATGCCCAGGTCAGTTTTGTTTTTCTTTCGTTAGTTTCTATGCCATTATTTTCTAATTTTAAAAATAAAGCATTATTGCCTCATGAAAGTTGGTGGAATACTGTTGTTTTGTTTTCTGTACTAATGTTTGGGAAACATTTCATATAAACTTTACCTTCCTCAAGAAGAATTTGAAGCTGTTATTCCAATATTATCTTTAGTTCACTCTTAACCAAATAAAATAAGCTAGATTGCTCTAGAAAGAAGACAGGTCAGGTATTACAGATCTATAAACTCCCAGCACTTCCTTTATTGTTTAAAATACTAGTTTTCAAGGGACTAGGTTAAGTAATTTGAAGCCAAGAGTAATCAGTCTTCTATAACCTTCCTGTAGTTGTACTTTGAGAATTAACAGTACTTATATGCGAACTCAGGAGCTCTCATCACTTAACTGAGGCACAGAATAATAATTTGGATTTTTTTGGTTTGTTTTTGAATTTCAGTGGAGGAATTTAAATTTTTTTAGAATAATGATGTTTCACTAGTCACCAGAGATGAAGATTCTCAAGTATTAGAGACAATTGGCAGAGCAAGTGTTTTAGAAACAGTTTGTTGTATCTCTCCTAGCTTTACAATTTAAAACTTTTTTAAAAATCAGAGAATTTGATAAAATAAATTTGGCTGCAGTGAATAATTATGTTAAAAGAGAATTTATTCCATTTACAAAGATAAAAATTAATGAAGTGTTACGTTTTTCTGATACTAATTTCTTTCCAAAACTTTGCTGCTTTTTCAGTGGACCTTTTCCTTTTTGTATATAACCATTTGTTTGTCAAGCTGAGGCATTACCTCAAGTGATTACAATTGCTCTTTTGGTTCTGCTCTGAGTGAGACCATTATTATCAAAAGCATCAGATGACATTTCTAATAGATGACTTTTTGAATTCACTGAAACTAAACAGCTGTGTCAAACAAATGCCCTTTCTGTGGGGATTTGTCATCTGTAGATCAATTGATGATTATTCGTGATGAAAATATCTACATTTTGAGTGATTTTGAAATCAGATTTTAATTATATTTTTAATTTTAATGTATAGCCCAACAGCCAATATGCAGAAATAATATGTTTAAAGAAAGTAGTTAATATAACTTTTAGTGTAAAAATACCTTCTAACAGCCAGAAGGCTTGGGGGAATATTTATACCAATGAATGTATTGAGATATAACATTAACAAGTCTGTTAGAGGCTCCTCATTTACTGGTTTAGGTTTTGTCTAAATTGTTATTGAATCCCAGGGATAATGTGTATGTAGGCTTTTTCATTTCATGTACCTGTAGGGATTACTACCTTATTAAAGTCAGCCAATCAAAATAAATTTTATGTAAGTTACCACATTAGTGAAACAGTTTTCAGGAAAAGTGCATTTTGAATATTCTCTTTGTTGAATGAATTGTTTGGCTTTGTAACAATTATAACAACATTTATGTACTAACCTGGAGTTATACTCATCTGCAATACTACAGCTTCATCATTCTGGAAAATATATAACATCTCCCCAAGTTTTTTGGGGGCAGAATTCATATTTCATTTATCTTTCTACCTTCAATGCCTCCTATATTGCCTGGGACATGGTATAGCCTCTATGTGAATGTTTGTAGAATGAATAAATGCAAAACATAAAGGGGAAAGCCTAAGCAGAGCTGTCAGATGAGACAATTAATAGATTGGCTTTAAATAGGGAAAAGATCTTATGTTACAAAAGATGACTAATCTCTATTCCTTCCCTCTCTCTCCATTCATTCATTCAACTATTGAGTGCCAGGTTTTGTACTAAATTCTAGATTGTATTAAATACAACAATGAACAAAACATTAAGTCCCTGTTCTCAAGGAGATTAAATTCTAGTGGAGAGAATCAATAATAAACCAATTTTTAGAATGTCAGGCAATAAGGACATGGAGGAAATTAAAACAGGCAAGGGGGATAGAGTGTAATCTGGGCGTAGAGCTGTCACTATTTCATACAGGGTGGCCAGGGAAATAATATTTGAGTAGAATCTAGATTCTAGGAAGACCAGTAAGGACTCAAGCATGTCAAACTCGCTGCGGGCTTCGAGTTTGACATGCTTGATTAGGTCTAAATTTACATTCTAGGTAAAGATAGTGTGGCTTGGATCAGGATTTTAGCAGTTCACATGGTAAGATGTGGTAATACTCTGGATATA